CCCCCCGTCCCCCACCCTGCCCTAGCACCACCAAAGTTGTAAAGTTTGTTTTCGACATAATGACTTGTACATCTCATTGTTGCAATCTTAGTATGGTTTAGACAGATAGCTATCTGCCAAATAAAATGAGTAACATTCACTGGGCACTGAAGCTTTATGCTTCTAATCTTAACTACTTAAGAGAATGGATTCAGAAAATCATGCCTGGAAAGCTGCATAAGCAGGAAAATCTAGGAGACTTCCTTTTCCTTCAATGAAACAACAAAATGGTGAAGTAAAGGTGTGGCTCATGCGATAGATCACCAAATATGAGCAAGGAAGCTGAGTGAGGGCATGAGGCCTTGAGTTCTACCCAAGTACTGACACATCAAAAAATATTCAAGTATGAACATCCTACAACAGTGTTGTTGTTTGTTGTCTTGGCTAAGTTTCAAAGCTCAAGGACAGATGCTATTAGGTTACAGATAATATTTTTTCACCCTTCCCAGTTTTATGAAGGTATATCACAGGCAGCAAACTCTTGTCCAGGAGATTTTATCCTCATTTCTCTGGTGCATAACTGCTGGTTCCAAAACAGATCAACAGCCACCAACTCTTAGAGCATCACTCACCCGAGTGATAGATAAGCTACAGGATGTGTTTTACCCAATCTGCTATGGACTGTTTAACCCATGCTGTCCTGCATAGGCAGGGCCGTAGGCACTATAACAACTCATTGTCTAACTCAAAAAGACCACAGATTCTTTCTTTTTAGAACCTACTCTATGAGTTTCTTCTGTTAACTGCCTGTTTGGTGAGTGGACCCAAGGACAGTCAAGGCTCATTTTTGTGGCCATCACACTGCTTTGTTTTTCTACAATGAGCTCAGAGCAATAGGTGTGGCATCTTTTCACTGACCAATATGTATTAGCCTGAAATTGTAGACTATCTGCCTTTTTGCAAAATGTTGTCCCAAGGCTTCCCTTCTCAGTACTCTGGCATAATACAATAATTAATAAAACAAATTTACCCATTTGAATATTAGGTGGCCATAGGAGTGCAGAATCCGAAACTTCATGGTGTGGACGATTGCAGGTGGAACATCAATAACCATCCAATATTCTATGAGAATCCACAAGCTGAACCCCAGGACCAGGATGTACCCAACAGTGAGAAGGATCACCAACAAAGCAATCATGGTGTGCTTCTTCCTTCAGAATGGGCTGAGGAACTCCTGCCACCTGGAGAAGGTCTTAAGATTTTCTCTTGCCCACAGACCCAGGCACTTTATAACTTGCAAAGTCTGGATCACCACCAGAGATAAAGGTTTTGCCACATTGAAAACAGATAAAAGAAATTGCATCAGATCCTGCCCTGGACACGTTGTAGCCCAACATCTGTGAAGCCCAGCCATCTGGTTCCAGATCAAGGCTGTGTATTATCACACCACCCTAATATTCTCCAATGTGGTCATCAGAGGGACAGATAGTGGTAAAGAGGCTTATGTGAGATGTTGCTAGGTCATTGCTGGGCTACTCAGATCGGGGAAACTTTGTGAAAGTCCTGTCAGGAGCCATGTGTCTCTCCTCTCAATTGGAAAATCAGACATTACCAAGGTGGGATCTGTGCCATGATAAAAGGGGAAGAACTATCACCCGTACCCCAGTCTTGCTCTTCCTCCTCAATTCTTGGGTATGCTAAACTAAAAACTCACAATTAGTCTTTATATTAGTGACCTGTTTTTTCTCTCTCTCTTTTTTCCCCAGTCCTGGAGCTTGAATTCACAGCCTGCTGCCCCTGAGTCTCTGTGCTCAAGGCTAGCACTCTACCACTTGAGCCACAGCATCACTTCCAGTTTTTTTTAATCCAGTGCTCAGGATTCGAACCCAGGACATCTTGCATGCTAGGTAAGCACTCTACCACTAAGCCACATCCCCAGCCTGAGTGGCCTGTTTTTTTATACTCATGATTTGACATGTATGGCCTTGCTGACCAAAAAATGGATAACAATTTCTAGGTTTGAGAGACAGCAAAACCTTACCTGTGAGTATACTTATCAGACATAATCCAAGGAGTGCAGACTCCACAGCCTCCACCACCATCATTCTTGGCTCCTCAATGCTAAGCCACTATCCACCTGCCATGACTACTCAATGACCAGGGACTAGACAACCAAGTGCAACACATTTGTCCTAGTGCACACTGACATCATTTCAGCCACCCACTGTTAATTGGGTGACTCAATCTTGCTCATGTCTTCCGTGGAAACACCATAGAAACTTCTTTGCATGTTGCCTCCTATCTTTCTGCTTCTTCAGCAGTTGTTACTTCACTGCTGCTGCCTGTCCCAGATAGGAATGCTTCCCTCATGGGAACTGGGAAGAACAAGGTGTATTTTCAGTGGAAATTATCTGCTGAACTAGTGTCCTTATTGAATCTCAAACTGTCTAGTAATAAAGTCAGTAGTGGTGGTATGGCTCAGGGGTGGAATGCACACCTGCATGAGGCTCTTGGTTCAATCCCCAGCAACAGACACCACATTTCTACCTTCTGTGGTAATAGTTGGGTCTTATTTGGACAAAGGAGGTCAATGCCTGCCTATTATAAACTGTTGTGTTATCCCTGGCTCTTTCCCTCCCCCTTCCCTGGTCTGGTTTTTGGTTAACACAATGTGATCACCTCTGCTCTATTATATCCTTCTACTGCTATGATGATCTGCCTCACCATAAGTACTTCTGAGATACTCTTGAAAATGAACCCAAGCACCTGAGCACAGCATTGAGGGAAACAGCAGAATTCTGGAATGACTTCATGGCTGGGCAATGGATGGAAAACCTGTACTAGAGTGAATAGTTGTCTCCAGAGTTTGGGTTTCCTTCTTTATCCTCAGTACCATGAGTTTAGTTCTAGATATACAGTAAGGTGACTACTAGGCTTTTTTCCTCTTTACGTGCATAATAATTACAGGCTATATTGTTAATTACTCAATTTTCTATTTTGCTCCCAATCTCATTTTTATGTTGGCATTACTTTTTTACATACATAATTTCTCTGTTTACTTTTATTTTTATTTCCTCTTTTCTTTTTTTTCTGTTTTCCTCTAACATTAGCTCTTATTTACCTTCCTTCTGCTCCTTTCCTTCCATATATTCCACTACTCTTGTCTGTACCTCCCACTGGTTTTCCTATTACCCCCCAATTTTTCTTCTAATTTCTCTGTAATCTGTTTCCCTTCATTTCTAGCCCTTTTCTCCTCCTCCATTTTCTTTAGTTCATTGATCTCTAAGTGTTTGTGTCTGAGTCAGACTGCATTTAGTTCCATTATGACTGAGCCCAAGTGGCTCATTTTGTTATCCTTTCAGTTCAGACTGTTTTATTGCTAACAATAGATTTGTTCACTCTGACAAGTATATGTAATCCCCATTCCTGAATCACAATAGCCCTCCCCAAAGGAAAGGAGTGGTAGATACAGGAATACCTTTCTATGATTTTGAGCCCTTAACGTCTGTACAATTATAGCGTGCTGGGTTAGTTCTTGTTTTAAACTAGTGTTCTCTTGTCCTATTGAATTGGTTTTTGTATCCAACTGGGCAAAACAAACCACAGAAACATAAGAAACATGGCAAGTCAATGAAATTCAGTTCCCACTCAAACAGGCAATAGAGTATTCATGGAAAGACCTAGAGGATAGCTCTCAAAATGCTTTAAAAATCATGCCAGCCGCCGGGCCATGGTGGCTCACGCCTCTAATCCTAGCTACTCAGGAGGCTGAGATCTGAGGATCATGGTTCAAAGCCAGACCAGGCAGGAAAGTCTGTGAGACTCTTATCTCCAGTAAACGACTAGAAAACCAGAAGTGGCATTGTGGCTCATGCGGTAGAGCACACGCCTTGAGCTGAAGAGCACACGAACAGTGCCTAAGCCCAGAGTTCAAGCCCCACGACTAATCCCAAAAAAAATAATGCCAGCAAATATAGTGAATGAAAAGGTTGAAATGTCTCTGAATAAACGTGATGAGGCAAACCAAAGATTAACAGTGGAATTCATGGAATCCAAAATAGAAAACTAAATGAATTCCAACCAAAGAAAAAGAAGTCCAATGAAAATAGGGCCACCCAGCTAAAGGACTTGAGGGGAAACAGACAAAGAGAGAGACAGAGACAGACAGACAGAGACAGACAGAGGGACAGAGAGAGACAGAGACAGAGAATCAAGTCAAGGGAGTAAAGAAGTCCATACAAGATCTCAAACAAAGCTTCAATAAAGAGATGGAAGCCATAAAAAAATGAACAGTTAGAAGGAAGGGAGATAAAACTCAATGTAGAAAGTCTTGACAACAGATTATACAACACAGAATGTAGAATCTCTGGAATTGAAGATTGTACAGACAATTATTCAAAACAAATCCATGAAATAAGATACAAAACACAATCCAGCAGCGATGGGAAGAAGGGAATGAGAGAGAAAGAGGGAACAGCTTGCACTAAGCAAAAGGAAAGAAATGTAACTATCACTCAATGTGGAAGAAATAGCTGTACTGTCAAAGCTCAGAGAATTCACAAACTGTATAGACCATGATAATGACAATTTGCCTTGTTAAAGTTAAAATGTGTTTGTGATTTTCACTATTACTATCCTATAATACTGTGAAATGTGTGAATTTTATGTAATCACTTAATCTCAATTAAAATTATTTAAAAACCACAATCAGAATACCTAATTTTAGGCTAACTGGTATTGAGGAGGGTTTAGAGAAAACAGCTAAAGGAATAGGAAATGTATTTAACAGAATCCTAGCAGAGAACTTCCCAAATATCCAAAAAGATAGGCTCATCCAGTTACAAGAATCCTTTAGAAGCCCAGACAGACCAGACCAGAATAGGACTTCTCACTGCCACATTGTAATCCACCCAGGATCAATAGAGACCAAGGAAATGAACATTAAAGCTGTCAGGAAGACGAGATCAATCACCTATGAAGGAAAACCAATGAAAATTACTACAGATTTCTCAGCAGAGACCATGAAAGCAAGCAGAGCCTGGATTGAGGTATTCTCTGCCCTAAAGACAACCAATGAACCAAGAATAGTGTACCCAGAAAATCTGTCATTCATCAATGAAGAACAAATAAAATTTTTTACAGCAAGGAAAAATGGAAGCAATGTATCTCCACCAAGCCAGCATTACTGAAAATGCACAAAGATGTTGTACACATAGAAAACCAACAAGAACATTATTTGGCCAGAGAAATGACCCCCTAAATAGAGAACCAGATAATTATAATAAGACTTGACAAGACACAGCCCCTAAGAAAGTGGATAACATGGTAGGAACTACCAACACTTCTCAAACCTAACTCTCAATATTAATGGGCTTAACTCTCCAATTAAATTATAAGACTGACTACTTAGATAAAAATCAAGATCCATCTTTCTTCTGTCTTCAAGAGACACATCTTGCCTTCAAAAATCAAACATACTCTAAAAGCAAAAGGTTGGAGTAAAAAAGTCTATTAATCAAACAGCCCTATAAATAGGCTGGACAAAATTAACTTCAAACTAAAATTAGAGAAACAAAGAAGGTCATTACATACTAATAAAGTGATGTCTCTTATAAGAGGATATAACAGTCCTAAATATCTATACACCCAATGCCAAAGCAACCAGTTAATCAAACAAATACTACTTACCCTAAAAACACATATATCTAAACACTTTGATCATTGGTTTCCTTAACATACCACTGTCAGCTCTAGATAGATCAACACAACAAAAACTCAATAAAGAGACTTAATTAAACCATTGCATAGACCAACTAGACTTAACAGACATCTACAGTATATTTCACTCAGAAGCATCCAAATATATATTCTTTCAGCAGTATATGGATTATTCCTCTAAAATAGATCACATTTTAGGCACAAATAAAATCTGTGCAAATTCAGAAATATTGAAATCATTCCCTGCAATCTCTCAGATCTCAATGGAATAAAATTACAGCTGAACACAAAATCCACCACAGAAAATCTCATAACACATGGAGGCTGAGCAACACATTGTTGAAACACCACTGAGACATTGAAGGAATCAGAACAGAAATTCATAAGTGGGGTTTGGAAGGTGGCTCAGTGGTAGAGTGCTTGCTTTGCATGCATGAAGCCCTGGGTTCGATTCCTCAACAACACATAAACAGAAAAAGC